CGCTGTTTCAACAGCTCTTCACGATAAGACTAAAAATTATCAAGATTTACGGATAACAACGATGATAAAATTGCCTCTCGACCCTTATCTCCCAGACAGTCGATCGAGTGACCTACCCCCTCGCCGACTCCTCTTACACTGAGAGGGTCAAGGCTCCCCGACCTTCGACATCTCCGTCCGGTCTCGCTTTCATCCCGCGAAGGAACAAAAGCCGAACGAACGCGGCCAGGAGGGGGACCAGCTGGACAATGCTAGCGAACGCGGCCGCCCCTCCATCTCGTGGCTCGGGGGCGGGAGAAGAAAGTTCCCGTTTTCTTTTCAGATGCGTCGTGAAAAGAAAACGGGGATCTCTATGGCTTTTGGATTGTCTCGTCTCGCGGGCATTATGGGAGCCAAGCGAGGTGTGTGGAGGGGAAGAAAGGAAAAAGAATAAAAAACAAGAGGAGGAAGAAAGAAAGTGTCGTGTCAAAGGAAGGGGAAAAAAAAACAAGGAAAAAACAACAAAGTATCGTGTCCGTTTTCTGTTGCTCTTTATTTCAGGGTTGGAGGAGCGTGAGAGAGTGGCTTTGCTTGGACAGTCAGGTTCAAGGCAGTCAAAGCAGAAATACGGGTTTGAGGCTCGACGTAAGGCAACCCGGCATTAGTGTGTTGGTCAATGCAGGTGTGAAATACCTGTTAGGGAATATTTTCACCTTTTTTCTTTTCTTTTCTTTTCTATTTTGTTGTTTTCCTTCATTTCATTCCCTTAGGATATTTTCGTTGAGATTTTTAAGAGCTTTTATATATCATGGATTTCGGCTTTATAAATATACATATTCACCTCAAGATAAAGATATTTCATTCATTACCTAATCTAATCGACGTAAACAGCTTCGTCACACAAGTTCATTTGAAAAATATCATTCATACGACTATAATACTACAAACACATCATATCAATGAATATCAGCGCCACAAAATAAACTTTAAAAAAAAGGGAAATGAAAGTAGTTGCCAGTACGGAAATAATTTATTCAAATGACTCGATAGAATAAGGGGATAAAGTTTCCTACAGGTTTGTTTTACCACGACCAGATTATTTGATTTTTTTTTTACCGAAAGGAGGAGAGTGAGAGAGGGGAGAGCAGAGAATGAGGGGGAGAGAGAGGTTGAGGGAGTGAGGGAGAGAGAGAGAGAGAAGGAGGGGGGGGAGGGAGTGAGGGAGAGAGAGAGAGAGAGAAGGAGGGAGGGGAGAGGGAGTGAGGGAGAGACAGACAGACAGAGAGGGGAGGGAGAGAGTGAAGGAGAGAGAGGGAGAGGGAGGGGAGAGGGAGTGAGGGAGAGACAGAGAGAGAGAGAGAGAGAGAGAGAGAGAGAGAGAGAGAGAGAGAGGAGAGAGGAGAGAGAGAGAGAGAGAGAGAGAGAGAGAGAGAAGAGAAGAGGAATGGGAGGGAGGGAAGGGAGCAGAAAGAGACGGGAAGTGAGGGAGAAACAGAGAGTAAGTGAGAGAGCATGAGAAAGGAGACAGAGGGGGTGGGGGAGGGAGGGAGAGAAGACAGAAAAATATAGATAGAGAGAGAGGAGAACGGAAGGCAGAAATAAAGGAAAGAATCACAATCGTAACAAGAATAATAACAATAATAATCGGAACAGTTGTCAAAATAACAACAGCACACGTTAATGATAAAGAACATGATGGTGACCATAAAAGCGATAATAAATTTTAATCATCATGATTATTGCAGTCATCATCATCATTTAAACTACCATCAAAATCATCATTACCATTATTATCATTATCGTTATCATTTTGTTGTTGTGATTGCGAGCATAAAACAACAACAACAACCGCACTAAAAATACCACTATTGATATTATTACAAAAGCAAGCAACGGTACCGGGTTGTGGTCCTTCAGTACTGTAGGAATAGAGGTCATTGTGACTAATGTAGGAAAAAAATACATGTAGGATTGAAAAGAAATATGTATTAGAGAAATCATTCACTCTAAAATGTATACCTGATGTAAAATAAAAAATAAAAAAAAGTCAAATTATATATTTCTTACATTGGGAAATCAATCATATCATACTCATGGGCCTATTAAAAAAAAAGTGTTTGAAAAATACTTAGCTCGGGCCTTATCTAACCACTCCCCTTTAGATAAGAGAAGTGTAAACAATGGTAATCTTCCGTTTTATTTTCATTGTAAAAAGTCGTATTGATGGTAATCAGGATGATATGATGTGGTGATAATGATACAGATAGACATACAGATAATGATGATAATAATAATGATAATGGTGATAACAATAGTAGTAATGATGATAGTGACGGTAATGGTAATAATAATCATAGTGATAACAATGTAGATAGATATATAGTTAATGATGATAGTGATAAAGATAAGGGTGATACCAATAGAATTATAATTATGAAGACGACATAGAAGAATAAAAACGACTGAAAAAAAACACGTAGAAATACACACACACAATCACACACACACACACGCACGCATGGACGCACACACACACACCACACGCACGGACGCACACACACACACACACACACACACACGCTTGTACGGACGCGCAAAAAAAAAAAAATAAAAAAAAAAATAGACACGCAAAGACAAAATATGCTCAGCTTTAAAGCGACTTCCAAAACGGCGAGGAGAGATGATAAAAAAAAAAAAAAAAAAGATAAAAAAAAAGTTAATGGATATGTTTCTCACTCGTACCATAAGCTTATCAGATACCTTCTAGATTATCTGTTTCTTGTGACACAGGAAATGCTAATGATTAATGATATGAACAGCTGTAATTCGATGTCGAAGATATAGATGATGTGATAACGAATAACTACTTACAATATTATACAACTGATGTATTTCAGTGCTGTATTTTCCACCAGGATTATATCATGATTTTAGTCAGATGAATCTATAGATTAGATCGAAATACAACAGTTCTATCTCTAGCCTCTGTGAAGCAATACATTCTCATTTTCATACTGTTTCTACACTGTCTTAATGCTTTTCAATGGAGAAAGTGAAGCTAATCTACATGACCTACGGTGTCTAATGCTACAACTACAACCACTGCAATAAGGACTAACCCTACTGGTGTATTTTGGTATAGGCTACAACAGCTACCATAAACTGTCCTGGTACAAAAGGTAGTTCTATATATCCGAGTTTTCTTTTATTTAGACGTGATGACTATGCGGTGACATGTTAAGTGAGGTGAGTGCTGGTGAGGGAGAAGACGTGAGTGAAGAGTTGGGGAGCTTTTAGAGGTGAGATTCTTTCTGTTCCTTTGGTTCCTCGGACGAAATGGGAAGTGTCTGTGTTGCTGCGTTTGTGTTACTTCACGTGCGTGTGTGTGTTTGTGTATGTTCGTGTTTTTTTGTTTGTTTGTTTGCGTCTATGTGTGTGTGTGTGTGTGTGTGTGTCACATACGGCCGAAACCTTTCACGGGAAGACAAAGGGAAGGTTCCCGTCGGCGGGGAAGCTGTCGAGGCACGCGTGGTGGTTGGGGTTCTTGCACTTGAGCCACGTGCCCGGCCTCCCGACGGGGACGGCGCTGGTGCCTCTCCGCTTCTGAGCGTTGAGGATGTGGCTGGAGTGCTGCACGTGCTTCAGGACCTCCAGGCCGATGCCGTTCCTAGCGAAGAGCCCTGGGTTGGCCGTGACCTTGGTCCAGCGGCCGCCGTACAGGATGGAGGTCGGCGTGTTCGCGTACTCCTTCGGGAGGAACTTCCTGCTGAGCGCGTCGCGGCAGAAGATGTCCATGGTGAACGAAGGGCAGATGATCTTGAGGAACACGTTCTTGTACTTGACCTTCGGCGTGCAGTTCCTGCCCTTGACGATGGCGCCGAACTTCTGCGTCCACTTCTTGAAGTGCCTGCACTCCACGTACACGTCGTGGTCCATGTCCCAGGGGAGGTACGACCCGAACTTGAGGGCGCCGAGGACGGAGCCCGCCTGGAGCTCGTACTCGAGGCCCTCGCGCTCGGCGAAGTCCACCAGGACGCGGACGTCCTCCATGGCGATGTCGAGGCAGCACGGCGGCAGCAAGTACCACTTGGTCATCGCCTTGATGTTGGTGCACTTGATGCCCACGTCCTCGCACGGGAACAGGAAGGTCTCGCCCGAGAAGGACGTCACCTTCTGCAGGGCCCAGCGGCGGGCCACGGGCAGCCAGTCGTCGGCCGTCATGTTGACGTGGTCGCCGACGAAGAACATGACGTCGGGGCAGAGCACGGCCAGGTGGCCTGCGCCGCGCACCTTGGCGAACCAGTCTCGGTACAGGGCCTGTCCGCTGAGGCCGGCGCTGAAGGCGAGCGAGCGAAGCAGCTTGGTTGTGGTGACGAAGGGGGTGAGGAGGTCGTCGCAGTACATGCACTCGTACTTGGAGTGGTAGTAGCCCATTGTGTACTTGGCCTGGTAGTTGGCCATGTGCTGCTGCAGACAGCCGTGGCTCCAGTGGCCTTGGGCGTCCTGGCAGCGCCCCCGGCCACCTGCACGTGGTCCAGGTCGTCCAGCACCCGCACGAGGCGCTCCAGCGACGACTGGTTGCTGAAGTGCGCCAGCGACTCCCCCAGCAGCACGAAGGGCGTCTCCACCAGCTTCACGGCTTCGTTGAGCAGATCTGCGTCAGAGGCGTTGGCTGCGGCCGAGAGGTATCGAACGCCGGCGTCGCGCTGGTCCTCGCTCGGCCTCTCGGCTCTTATGGCAACGATGGGGACGTCGTACAGCGCCCTGATGCGCGCCACGACGAATCCAAGGGCCTTAGGCGTCCACGATCTCGCCGGCAGCAGGATCGTCAGGACGCTGCGGAAAGGAGCGACTCCAGTGCAGTTGGTCGTCTCCATCCCGTGCTGGTTATAAGGGTGGTCGTAGCGGCGGCCCAGGTAGACCTCGGGGCACACGTGGCGGCCGGGCAGGGGAGGGGCGCGGGGGAGGAGGGCGAGGAGGGGGCCGGACTGGACGGGAGGCGAGCCGAGAAGTCCCACGAGGCGTTCGAGGAGGAGACGTGAGGGTCGAGCTCCTGGACGAGGGCCCGCAGCACGAGGGACCACTTGGCGTCCACCACCGCCCGGCGGCCTGGAATGAGGAGACCGGAGGCGGGTGAGAGATCCGGTGCCTAAGGGCAAGCTTGTCAAGATTAAAGAGGTTGAATTTGGAGA